ATCTCTCCTTTTCCAAGAGGTTATTCACATCAGGACCTGTTCTCGAGTCTCTGGCAGTCGAAGGGCAATTAGGCCACCCCCAACCAGAGAAGCAGCAGCCAGAAGGATGGGGACCACTTTGGTTATCCCAACAAAAGAAGCGAAGATGGTGTTTCCCAAGATGGCACCGAATTTGCATAATCCATTGAGGATGCCAAAGGCTGTTGCCCTGGAAAAGAAGGGGAAAGTAAATAATTCTAAAATTCTGGACTTTGTTTGATGAATGAGACTTGATTCTTTCTTTCGTTTTTTTTTTTTTTTTTTGGTGTGGTTTTTTTTTTTTGCTATAGGGCACGTGCACTCACCAGAAAAACAGAGAGAAGCAGAGGGATAGAAAGTGAGAAATCACTCCCCAGTGGGGAGGGCCATGCCACAATCCATTCTCCTCCATTCTCCTCTCAGGATCTTGGGCACGTACACACAAGCACCTGGCATGAGTTTAAGCCACCAAGTCCGTGACTCAAACTATAGTCAACTACATGGGAGTCCAGTGACATAGCCATTACACCGACTGCTGGTCCCAAGACTCGATTCTTTCTTTTCCTTGCATCAAGGGCAGGAAGTGTAGGGAGGAATATTTTCCTAAATACCTAAATACCACATTTTTATTTTAGTCAAATTTGGAAATACAGAATAGTAATAAAGACGTTGGGGTGTCTAACTCCACCATAAAAGGCTATCACCACTATTAACATTTTGAAGTATTTCCTTCCAGTTTTTTTTTCTTTTCAAATACAGCACTTTTCAAAATTTTTACAGTAGCACACACTTACTGTGAAATACTGAAAAAATGAGATCCTGTTGAGTGTGTGTGTGTGTGCACATGCATGTTCATCCCACAGAAACAAAATTCTACAGAAATCTTTAATAATATTCCCAAAATTGGTATCTGAGGTAGCTATGGAAAACCACAACATATCATATTGGAGCCCCTTTCCTTGAGCCAAAGAAATGCTACGTTTTATTTTTAAAAAATAGGAAAAGAAAAATTACTATTATTTGAGTGGGATGTGATTTTTGAACCTAGGAAAAGCTAAGAGAATTAACTAAAGAGATGACTAGAAATGATAAGATAATTTGGCCAGGTAGTCAGTAGCAAAACCAAGTTAGTAACATGTAGGTTTTAAAATACATTTAAAAATTAAAAATACAACCAAAATTTATTTATTAATGACAGGAATCATAAAATATGTAGCAATCAACTAGATGAGTACAACAGTTATATGAAGAAAGCCATAAAGCTTTAATAAGAGATACAGAGGACGATATAAATATATTCCAAGATATACCTCATTTTGGGGGCCAGCAAGTAGCATGCTTAAGGCATTGGATCCCACATGGCCGAATCCAGGGTTCAAGTCCCAGACCCAGTGGCCTGAAAAACATGCCCAGCAAGTGTATATGTGTGCCCAAAGTCTGGAGAGAAGAATGGATTGCGGCATGGCGATCCCCTTATGGGATGATTTATCACTTCCTCTCTCTCTCTCTCTGTCTCTTTCTAGCGAGCATATTCACGCAAGCAAAAAATCTGGAAAAAAAAAAGAGAGAGAGAGAAACCACATTTTGAGTAAGAAGATTTCATCTTACTGAAAAGTCAAACTTTCGTTAGTTCTTCTCTAACATAAAAGGGTCTGTTTGAAATTCAGGGACATATTTATCTCCTTGAGAAATGGAAAAATATTTATATTCTTTTTTTTTTTAACCCATCTGTTACCCTTAAACTTTACAATTTCCCCTCCATGAGGAGAAACAACTACCAAGTAATGGCCTTGCCCTTAGGCTTTTAATCTCGACCTCCTCCCAAATGGCTTGAATAAAATAAAAGGAGACCCTGGGCAGTCCTAACACACTCTCTGGAAATGCCCTGGACCTTCCTGTGTCATCCCCGCCTTTATTTCTCTCCCCCTGCCTCCCACCCTGTGTTATTCTGCTTCTTCTCTTTATTGCCCATGACAAGCCTGTTCTCACCCTCCTGGTGGGTTGGATCACATATTGTTTGCCAATTTTCCATGCCTACTTCTCTCTCCTGGACAAAGGTTGCTCTTCTCCTTTGTTTCTTGCTGCCTACCCCTCACCTGCCCACTTCCAGCGTTGACATCTCCCATGCAGAAGAAACACAACTACCTACGTCTGTGTGTTTTCTCGTGGACCACCAAGAAGACCAAGGTGATCATGACTGGTGCAGGAGTTAGTGAGTGAGTAGACTTCCATCCCAAGAAGTCCAAACAGTTCCTAGAGGGACACCCAGGGAAGGACTGACCTCTGGTTGGTGGGATACAGTTCTACTGTGATCACATCCAGAGCGTTCCAGGCTGCAATGCTGGTCCCACAGAACAGGCACTGCCAGCCGATCATCGCAGACTCGCTGTTGCCAAAAAACAGGAAGAAGCAGCAGACTGCTGAGATTAGCATGGAGCCACCTGTAGAGGCAGGTCAAAGTCAGAAAGAAACATAAAGTAGCTCGAAAAGACTGTCACCCACAGGTCTTACCCCATCTCCCAACCCCACAAGTATACCTGGAGAAAGAGCCAACCTTCCTGGTATGAGGTATACCTATTACATATTGAAATATTAGGTTCATCCTCCTTCCAGAGAAAGCACAACGTGAATCCTCACGTGGCACCTCGGCCATGGGATTAGAGGCCTCTACATGAGTGAGATCTCCAGACTTATCCTCCAGAGAGGCTTCTGAAGTCACCATTCTATGGTGCTGCCCAGCACAAAATGACTGGGACAGGGCAGGATGGGTATTTGTTGAGAATTTATTATATCTCAGACATTGTTTTGGGGGCTTCAGTATCAGTCAAAACAATCCCATTCTTAATTTGAAATCAGTATGTCTAAAAGATATCTCCCCTCCCCCCCCGTGAGTCCAGCAGGTGGCCTGGATTCCCACATGGTTGACCACAGTTCAAGTCACAGACCTGGTGGCTTAGAAGTCACAATTAATAGATAATTTAATTTAATTTGGAAAAAAGAAAGAAAAAGATACCTGCCCTCTCATGTTCATTGAAGCATTATACACCCAAGATATGGAATCAACTGAAGTGCCCATTAGTGGATGAATGGATAAAGAAAATGTGGTATATATACAAAATGGAATACTATTCAGCATTCAAAAAAGATGGAAATGTCATCACTTGCAACAACATGGATGAACCTGGAGGATATTAAGCTAAATGAAATAAGCCAGCCACAGAAAGAAAACACTGCCTGACCTCTCTTCTAAGTGGACTCTGAAATAGTTGAATTCACAGGAGAGATTAGAGTGATGGTTAGCAGAGGTTGGAGGTGGAGTGGAAGAAATGAGGATACATTAGTCAAAGGGCACAAAGTTTCAATAAGATACAAGAAAAGGTTTTTGAGGTCTATTGCATATCTCTGAGTCTATAGTTAATAATTATTGTAGGGGGCCAGTAGGTGGTATGGTGATTAAGGTGGCTGGATTCCCACAGGGTCAACCACAACTTGACTCTCAGACCCAAAAGTGTGAGAAAACAAAGGAGTGTGTGTATATGCGTGCCCAAAATCCCGAGAGAAGAACGGAAGAAAAGGGATTGTAATGTGGCCATTCCCCCTGGGGAGTGTTTTCACATTTTCCCTCTATCTGTCTATCTCCTCTCCAGCGAGTGCAGACACCCTATGGCAAGAACCTAAATAATAATAATAATAATAATAATGATAAAAAAGTATAGCTCATTTCAAAATTTCTAAGAGTAAATTTCAAAAGTTCTCACCACAAAAATATAAAGATACAAGAGATCATCAATAAATTCATGGAAAAATGCACAGTATTAAAAATAAACTATGCATAGATTCAAATTTTTTGTGCCAAAGTAAACTTGTACTTTAATTCCATTTTTCTATGAGCTTTCTTTTTAGAGATTTTTGCTACAGAGCGCAAAATGTGCTCACCAGAGAGAAAATAAGAAAACACCTCCCAGGGGGAATGGTCACGCCAAAATCCTTTTTCCTCCATTCTCCTCTCAGGATTTTGGGCATGCATGCACACATGCCTGGTATGAGCTTCAAGTCACCTGGTCTGTGACTCAAGCCATGGTCGACCATGTGGGAGTTCAGCACCTTAAGCACTACACCACCTGCTGGCAACTCTAATGAACTTTTTGAAGTCCCCACATATGTGAGTTGATATCTGTGTTAATCACCTTGATGTAATCATTCCACATTGTATACACACATCATAATATCATATGGTACCCCATAAATATATACAATTATAATTTGTCAATTTAAAAAAAATATTAATCCAGGGGCAGCCCTGTAGCATAGCAGTTAAGCCCTATGCACAGGGAGCCAGATTCCACATGGTCACGCGTAGTTTGAGTCCTAGCCCCAGGGGCCTGAAAAACATGTTGGGCATCCAAAATTCTGATAGGACGGAGAAGTATAGGGAAAAGAATTTCAGTGTGACCACATACCATTGGTGATGCTCCCTCCCTCTCTCTCTCTCTCTCTCTTTTTCTCTGATTCCTCCTGAAAAGAGCACATGCCCTCTGGCAATAATAATAATAATAATAACTTTTTAGAAACATTTGCACCGAACTTACACTCAGTGAAACCAAGTCAGCCCCTGGGCTACCCAAGGAAAACCTACAGTGGGCTGAGCTGTTTGTTCAGCATTTATCCCCGTCCTCGCCACAGAAATCTGATCTGTCCCCATCAGTTCTGCTCTGCATCCTGGAGGCCAACACAGTGGCTTTCTTATTAGGTGGAAGAAGAAAGAGCTTGGGTTATTTTCCCCCAATTCCCATCTGGCTGTAATGATACTGGGTAGTTATGACTTGTTGTTTGTTTTTCTATGCAAAAATGCATCATGACTTTCCAGAAATGATCCAATAGAAGCCCTTTCTCAGCAATGGCTGCCTCCCTCCAGGGCCGCAGCTCCTTCCAGACAGCTCTTCCTCCGGGTTCCAGCCTCACTGAGCTCTGTCAGCACAATTTTCTCTCCTTGTCCCTGTGGCCACATGGGAGGTAAGTGCCTCCCACCTTTGCAAGTGCATGGTACCCCACCTGCCTTATTTGTTCCCGTAACCCTCTCCATGCCTCTAAAAGTGGCCCTACCAATAACGTTAGTCTCTTCACTGGAACCCTCCGGGTGAATTCTTTTTCCCCACCAAGACTTCTTCATACACAGTCCTTGTGATGTCCCAGGGCTCAAAGGAGAACTGAGAAGAGCAGTGATGGGGGTAAATGGAGACACAAAGCCCTGAGACAGCTGATGACAGGAGAGCCCCACAGAAGACTGTGTCGATCCTGCCAAGACCAGTAGGTCTAGCCCAGGGAAGCTTGGGAAGGCCAAGGTGGATGCGGGGGCCTCACAGAACAGGATGCAGATCAGGAATGTAACTGAAAATGAGGTGGGAAGAAGGCTTGAGGAAAGGAGGAAAGAAAGCAGATTCTGGGCCAGCAGATGGTGTGGAGTTTAAGGTGCTCGGTCCCACATGGCTGACTGCACAGTTTGAATCCTGGACCCCACAGCCTGAAAATCAAGTATGTGCGCATGTGTGCCCAAAGTCCTGAGAGGAGAATGGAGAAGGACTGCAGCATGGCCATGCCCCCTGGAGGGTGACTTCTTACTTTCCCTCTCTCTCTCTCCCTTTCTCTCTGACTTTCTCTGGTAAGCACGCATACCATATAGCAAAAAAAGGAAATGAAGAAAGCAGGTTCTAAGGCACACAACAATGGTGTAAAACAAACAGATGTTGCCACTCTTACACATATAGCAGAAAGTAAAAATAAAAACTAGTGGAGCAAAAATCAAAGGTACATATCACAATGTAATGTTCTTGGCTGAAAATGGTGAATTTGGTAGTATCCTTCATTTGATTATCACTCACTGCATACAGGCTTCCAAAAACCATATTGTACCCCACAACGATGTAATGTACGTAAGAAATGATTTTCAAACATTTTCTAATATCAAAAAAATAAGCAAGTTCCGAGACCAGCAGGTGGTGTAATGGTTACGTCGCTGGACTTCCACGGAGTCGATGGCTGTTTGAGTCCTGGACTCTGCAGCTTAAAACTCACACTAGGTACGTGTGGGTACATGCCCAAAGTCCCTAAATGAGAATGAAGAAGGGATTGCACTGTGGCCATCACCCTGGGGGGTGATTTCTTGCTTACTTTCTGTCTCTCTAACATCTCTACCTCTGTCTCTCTGGTGAGCACATGTGCCCTATAGCAAAAAATCACTCAAAAAAAAATTACATTTTTGGGGGAGAGGTTTTTGCTATAGGGCACGTGCACTCACCAGAAAGAGAGGGAGACAGAGAGAAGAAAGCAAGGAATCGCCCCCGGGGGGGATGGCCACGTCTCAATCCCTTCTCCTCCACTCATCTCTCAGGATGTTGGACACACACACACACACACACACACACACACACACACACACCTCGCGTGAGTTTAAGCCACTGGGTCTGGGACTCGAACCATGGTCGACTACATGGGAGTCCAGAAACATAGCCATTACAAAAACTGCTGATCCCCCAAAAATACATTTTTAAAAATAAAGCAAATTCCAAGCCACTAGCTGAGAATAAGGGTATGAGTTTTCCATGAGGTATCAGGACCCTGGCGGGAGATGGGGAATCTGGCTGGCAAGAAACCAGAAGGCCAGCCTCTCCTCAACACAAAATGTCTCCTCAACCTGGACTCTCACCCTCAGACCCGGGGCTGCAGGACTGAGTGCCTGGTGAGCTGGGATGAGGCAACTGTCCACCTGGATTCTGCCCCCTGTGGAAAGAGGTGGGACTGTGAGCAGGCACCTGATAACCTGTTTCCAAACAGCTTGGAGGGAAGTGGGAAGGAAGGGGTCTGAATCCAGCAGGACCATGAGAGCCTTGAGAACAAAATCCTTTACATGCATGTGTCTGTCCCAAAGGCCAGCCACGGGGCTTGGCTTAGAGTAAATGTTAACAGATATTTGCTGAGTATAGAACATTGCCATCAGATAAATCAAGAAACAGGCATTGGGAGGCCCAAGTTCAGATCCCACCCTCCCCATCTCTACCTGCGTGACCTTGAGTGAGTTGATAAACCTCTCTGTGCTATCTCACTTGCACCATCTGTAAAATATCAACAGAAATGCAACCCACCTCAGAAGGTTATTGTGAGATTTTTTGTTTGTTAATATTTATAAAATGCTTGGAGCACAACCTGACCTATAAAAAGCATTTCACAGTGTTAGTTAAATGAAATTTCTGTTCATGTCTGTCTCTCCCAATACATCATTTGCTCCTTAAGCACAGGGATACTGTCTGTCTCAATTACTGTTGCCTTCCGATTACCTCCCACACAGCCTGGCAGAGAATAAGTACTATATAAATAAATGTTTATTGAATGAATAAAAGGGTGAGTAACAGCCTCATCAGGAACACTTCTACAGTGTTAACAAGAAACTTATTTCCACCCGCGAAAAGGGCCCAGCAGGGTAACAAAATGAAGATGTCCAGCAAACTTTTCAGCAGAGCTGGTCTGAAGGCCATGGACAATGCTAATCAAAGCAGCTCACCCACTTCCCTCAGCAACGATAACTGAGCATCTACTGGGAATATTGCAGCTGACCTACTACGTGCTGAGCCTTTTACTGAAGACTCAGGGATGCAGAGACAGGAAGGCACCGAGCTCTAGCAGAGCTTGAAATCTATTGGGTCACTGGAAAAACCTTGGCACATTTTTGCATAGACAGACACATTGTGATTTTTCCAGCAGTTCAGAAACCAAATAAAAACATCAATGAAACAGCAGAATATAAAGAATGATTACAAATCAGTTTTAGATCTCTTATTTTGGTAGCTTGCTTTTACTGAGCCTTAAAGAAATCAGTTCTGATCCAGGATAGATACATGATGGCAAGAAGGGCTTCAGTGGTGAGAAAAGGCCCTTCTCTTGCCCTGTCTGCCCTTCCTCTCTTCCGTGGGGACCACTCTCATACATGTAGAAAAAACCCCAGTCCTGTAGACCCTGCCTCCCCCAGAACTTCCTCGGGTACTCCAGGACCCGACCCTAGAGTTCACTGTTGGACTCTGAGCTACAGCAGGCCGCTGACAAAATGGCAGACATGCCACATGTCTACTGTGTTTACCTCTGTTTACACATGTTTACCTCACTGGAGCAAACAGAGGCACTATCTTAACAATTATAAAATGGCAGCTCAGAGAGGCAAAGGAATCGGTGCAAACTTATAAGGCTACTTCAGCAGAGAAGGCTGCATGACTCGACTGTGGCGTTTTTACACAAAGCCGTCTGCAGTGCCTTCTGTTGAACGCTTGGTGCTTCAGCGTCTTCTGGAAAGAGGTCATCTTCGCTGGTTCTGGTCAGGGAAGGGCATGTCTTTCTTTTTTTCAGAGAGGTTTTTACTATTATGGCACATGTGCTCATCAGAGAGACAAAGAGACAGAAAGCGAGAAATCACCCCCTCACCCCCATGCCGCAACCCCTTCTCCTCTATTTGCTCTTGGGAATTTGGGCATCCATGCACACACACCCAGTGTGAGTTTTAAGCCACTGGGTTTGGGACTTGAACTGCGGTCAACTACATGGGAGTCCAGCGACATAACCGTTACACTATCTGCTGGTCCCAGCACAGGAGCATTTCTAAGTGTCAGGCGCTCTATTGGGCACAGGGGTCACAGAAATTACTAAGTCACTGCCCCTCCCCTGGAACTTTAGGACCAACCAAGCAGCCGCCTCCAACAGAGGAGACAGCTCAGTCTGAAAAACCTCCTCCTTATGACTTTCTTTCTTTCTTTTTTAAGAATTACTTTATCCCAATAAAGGACCAGCAGGTGGCGTAATGATTAGGGTGCTGGACACTCCCACATGGCTGATCATGGTTCGAGTCCTAGACCTGGTGGCTTACTTTCTCACATTCTCTCTCTCTCTCTCTCTCTCTCTCTCTCTGGTAAAATTAAAATAAATGAATAAATAAAATTAAATAAATAATTATTTAAGTAAAAAGTAACTTTTTTAGGAAAAAAATAATTACTTTATTAAACTTTATTTATTTATTTATTTACTTATTTTAATTTGACCAGAGAGGGACAGAGCCAGAGAGAGACAGAAAGTGAGAAAGCAAGCCACCTGGCCCAGGGCTTGAACCATGGTCGACCGTGTGGGAGTCCAGCACCTATAACCACCAAGCCACTTGCTGGTCCCCTTATGACCTTATTAGTACCATTTTCTCTTGCCTACATTACTTTATTGTAAGAATACAATACATAATACACACGACACACAAAACATTAATCGACAGCTTTAATCGACAGTTTTTGTCCTTGGCAAGGCTTCTAGTCACTGGTAGGTTATCATTAGTTACGAATTTTGTTTGCTTGTTTTTTAGAACTTTTTCATTTATTATTAGTATTTTTAAATTTAACCAGAGAGAGAGAGGAAAGGCAAGAAAGCAAGCCGCCAAGTCTGGGATTTGAACTGTGCTCGGCTATGTGAGAGTCCAGCACTTCAACCCCATACTTAGGTTCTCCAATTTATACATGGATTTCCAACTGCTCAAGGGGTAGGTACCCCTAACCCTATGGTGTTCACAGGTCAGCTGATAATACGATTTATTCTAAATCACCAAGTCTAAGAACATTTTATATATCTTTCACACAATACTCTTATGAAGCAATTAGGGTAAATATATTTAATATCCTTCCTGAAGGACTAATAGAATAAGTGACTGCTGCAGAATTGCTCAGCCAGGAGTGAGGAAGAGCCCCGGGCCTGGACCAGAGGTCTCTGACCATTTCCTCGAGCACCAGGGCTCCGTAGACCTACCTCCTCAGCTCTACAACAGCAGATGCAGTCTTACCTGTCTAGTTCCCTCTGCAAGAACTTTTAAAAGAAAAATAAATATCCCATTGCTTTAAAATCCCTGAAAGTCACTTCCCTAGCCCACTGCAACCCTGAAGCAGCACGGCTAATAACTCACCGATCATCTTGAGCCTTCCAACTCTGTCCATAAGCAGGGCAGAAATGATGTTCCCAGGCAAGACAGACAGGCTGCCAAGGAAGCTGACAAGGTAAATCAGGAAGTCATTGTCTTCCTCAAAGTCCATGTGGCAGCCCTCTTTCTGATCCAGAAAGGTGGAGTTGATAAACCGACAGTTGATGAACTTGTGCTCGTAGAGATCTGGGGAGAGAGGGAAACCTTTCATTCATGGAAGTGGAGGGGAGCAGGGGAGAGAGCGGCAGAAGCAGGGATGAAGTCACATCCCCTTGCAAGGGCAGACTGGGCCAGCCTTTGGCAATCAGACAACCTCAGAGTCAAGGAGCTGTGTGGCCAAGAATAGGAAATAAAACTAACTAGTGGGGCCAGCCCATGGTGTGGTGGTTGGGGTGGCTGGATCCTACACGGACGACTACGTGCTTCGAATCCCAGGCCCAGCAGTTCGGGAAATGCTCCAGGAGTGTGTGTGTGTGTGTGTGTGTGTGTGTGTGCATGCCCCAAATCCTAAGAGAGTGGAGGAGAAGGGACTGCAGCATGGCCTTCCCCAAAGGAATGCTTCCTCTCTGTCTCTCTCTCTCTCTCTCTCTGTCTCTTTCTTTCTCTCTCTCTCTCTCCAAGAAGTGCACACGCCCTGTAACAAATGAAAGGAAAAAAAAAAAAAAAAACTAGTGGAAAGGCATTCTAAAATATTAGATCATTGGAAAAGTCATGCGTATTTTTCAAAGTTTTTCTAAACGTGTCATGACTTTCCCAACCCAGTACATCATCTCTCAGGCTAGGGAGCAGTCCTGTTTGTACCAATCAGGTAACACCTCGGGCCACAGCAGCTGGGCTACTCCTTTGAGGCTACTCAGCCTAGCAAATAAGAAAGCTGGGCCCAGACTGAGATGGCCACTCCAGAGCACACGCTGCAGGCTACGCAGAAACCTAAAGATTCTTCAAAATAAAGCTTTGCTTTGTATATTTCTTGATGCCTTCTAAGACCAGCTATTCTAACCACTGAAAGGCTAAAGGGGCTCCCCGAAAACCGGGGTTTGAGCAGCTGGCTCTGCCGCTGACCCTTTTAAACATTCCTGAGCCTCTTCCTATAAAATCAGAGGGGTACCCATGATTATCTCCATGGTTTCTTCCAGCTCTGACATTTCCTATCTCTGAGTGTTTACATGAATCTTCATGTTAAGAGGACGCAAAATAAGAGGCATCATTAAAACCGGAAAGAAGAAAATAAAAGGATATGCCAGTTTGTAATGACAAACAATAAGCTTCTGAAACTTTTTTTTTAATACTTCATCTCATTTTCTTTCTTTCCTCCCTTCCTTCCTCCCTTCCTTCCAGGTCCGAGACTTGAACCACAATCAGCCATGTGAGAGTCCAGCCTCTTTAATGACCATGCCACCTGCCAGCCCCCAAGTTTCTGAAACTCTTAATGATCATTTTATCTATAAGCTAAAAGGAAATCCAGGAGGGATTTCTAGATTTCTGTCATGGTAGGTGCCATGGCAGATTAGAAAGAGACTGAGTGATTTTTGGAGACCAGGCATTGAACCTTTCCTGGACGCTGATGCCAGGGGAAAAGCATGCATCTGGACGTAATGCACGTCCATCAACAGAGAGATCACAGATAGCAGAGCCCAGCAGTTGAGGAAGGAAACCAGATTCCCCCAACAGGCGACCTGGGACTTGAGCATGTTGCTCACGTCTGTTTTCTTAGCTCTAAGACGGGGGTGGTAATAGTGCATTTCCTAAGTGACACAGTGTAGGTGAAGTCCCTGGTGAAGTTCGGTTTCCTTATATCTCGACCCCACTTGGTTTGTTTCTCATTTATGATGACAGTAGTAAAAGTAACAGAGAGTGGCAGAGTGGCAAGTGTTTTGTTATTTTTTGTTTTTGTTTTTTTAATTGCCAGAGGCACTTGCACTCACCAGAGAAAGAGAGAGAGAAAGCATTTCCAATAGGGCCTGGTCACACCGCAACCCTTTTTTCTCCATCTTGTCAGAATTTGAGGTTTACATGCATGCATGCCTGGCATGTTTCTCAAGCCACCCAGGGCCAGGATCAAACCTTGGTCAGCCATGTGGATCTGGCTGCTTATGCAGTGTTTAACCATGGTGCTACTGGGTCAATCTCTCTGATTTTTTTCTTTTTAAATCAGGGAAACCTGAATCAGTATGATTTTAAAATATTCTTAGCATCTCACTTTATGCACAAAATCTGAACAGGTATAATTTCCCCTTTTTATTTATAATTATGAAATGTGAGTCCTGAAGTTCTTGAGTTTCAAATTATGTGAGGTCTTCAAGAATTCATTCCATGCATTATGTGCATCCACCTGGAAAGCTGGTTTTTATTTGTATCATACTTTGTTCCAAAAGACTCTTAGTGTAAAGTATCAGTATCATTGTGGGGCTGGCAGGTGGAGTGGTGGTTAAGGCGCTGGACTCCCACATGGCTGACAGTGGTTTGAGTCCCGGACCTGATGGTTGGCTTTCTCACTTTCTCTTCCTCTCTCTCTGTGTCTCTCTCTCTCTGGTCAAATCTGAAATAAATAAAACAAGATATATAATTTTTTGAGAGGTTTTTGCTATAGGGTGCATGCACTCACCAGAAATACAAACAGAGACAGAGAGACAGAAAGAGAGAAATCACACACACACACACACACACACACACACACCCCGAGGGAGGATGGCCACACCGCAATCCCTTCTTCTCCATTCTCATCTTGGGATCTTGGGCACGCACGTGCCCAGCATGGGTTTAAGCCACCGGGTCCGGGACTTGAACTACAGTCAACTACATGGGAGTCCAGCAACATAGCCATTACGCCAACTGCTGGTCCCTAAGATAAATAGTTTTTAAGAAAGTACCAGTATCATTGAGATGAAAGCCCTTAGCCAGAGACTCTGTTAACCATTTTTATAATTTTCCAAAGGACATACGTGTTTGCTAGAGACAGAGACAGAAAAAGGGAGAGACAGAAGCACTCCTCCGTGGTGCATAGTCATACCACTTGAGATGGAGAGAAGGACCACTATTCCTTCTCCTCCATTTGTCCACACTGTCAGGATCCTGGGCATGCTCACACACGTGTCTGGCATGTTTTTCAAGCCACCAGAGCCAGGATCTGAACTGCATGGTTGGCCATGATGATCTGGCTCCCTTAACCACTAAGCCACAGGGCCAGCCCTTGTTTGCATTTTATAGGTGATAAAAGTGAGACACAGATAAACACGTTAGTAAAAGCAGTGCACTTAATTTATGGCATACATGGGGCTAGAACCTATTTCTCCATCTTAAGGTTTGACGCTCACATTTACAAATACATTCCTTTTCCTAATGTTTGTGACTGATTGCTTTGGTTCTTAGACAACTGGTCCACCTTGTCACAGTTTGCCCAGGCTGTCCGTGTTCTTACCTGTGTTATAAAAGACACTTGTCAAAATGGTGCAGTTTTTGAAATAGGTGTCAGTAGATGTAACATCTTCAAAATAGCAGTCCTCAAAGAATGTGTTCTCAAAGAGCACATGTTTAAAGTACATCTTTGTGAACCTGTTAGGAGGGAGAAAACAAACAAACAAACAAAAAGCATTAGCCCACGAGTGATTCATCTAAGAAACAAAGAAGACTAGAGACCAAAATGAAAGACACAGAAATGCAGAAAGCACAGGCCTACAAGCCAAAAGGTTCTGGAAATTATCTTCAACCCAGACTGGTTTCCTATTTCTTACCTGTCTGCTGACTAATAGGGAGGTGCTTCAGAGCTATGAAACTTCGTGTCTCGTCAAGGTATCTATGAGATACTATGCCCCAACCTGTCCATAGACCTTCTGCATCAGAATCACAGAAGTGTGATACAGTGGTAATAACTCTGGGCCAGCAGTGGCATGGAAATTAAGGTGCTGGATCCCATTTGGCAGACTGTGCAGTTCGAGTCCTGAACCTGGTGGCTTGAAAATCATGCCAGGCACCTGTGCATGTATGCCCAAAAATCCCAAGAGGAATATGAAGAGAAGGGATTGCAGTGTGACCACACCCTGCTCTCCGGGGCAGGGGGATGATTTCTCACTTTCTCCAGTGAGCATAAATGCCCTCTAGCAAAAACTAAAAGGAAAAAAAGGTAACATCTCAGTTTTTAAATAGTTTTAAAAGATGCAAGTTTGGGGACCAGCAGATGATGTAATGGTTACATCACTGGTTTCCCACATAGTCGAACGTGTTTCGAGTCTTGGACCTGGTGGCTTAAAACTCATACCAGGCACATGTGCATGAGAAACACGTGCCCAAGATTCGGAGAGGGGAATGGAGAAGAAGAGACTACAGCATGTTCATCCCTCCTGCAGGGTAATTTCTTGCATTCTGCCTCTCTGTCTCTGTCTCTCCAGTGAGCACACATTCCCTATAGCAAAAATCTCTCTAAAAAATAAAAAAAAAAAAAGCAGGTCTTAGCCTGTTTCTGTCCATAGAAGTTTTGGTAGCAATGGATTATTGATGAAAGAAAGAGTATGGTACATATACTTCCAAATATATCTGGAGAATTACACCAGAAATTGGTAAAAAGAGGTTAGTCTTAGGGTGACACAATGAGGGGTAGTAATGCAATAAACTTCACTGTTACTTTAAGCCAAGTGTCTATATTGCTTTTTCACCCAACAAAAATTCAGTTAATATGAGGGTAAAGGGACCACCAGATGCCATAGTGGTTATGTTGCTGGACTGCCCATTGACCATGGTTTGAGTCCCAGACCCGGTGGCTTAAAACTCATGCCAGGCACACGTGTGTGTGTGTGTGTGTGTGTGTGCCCAAAATCCCAAGGGAAAATGGAGAAGAAAGGATTGTGGTATGGCCATCCTCCCTGGGGAAAGATTTCTTGCGCCCTCTCTCTCTCTCTCTCTCTCTCTCTCTCTCTCTCTCGGTCTCTCTGGTGAGCCCACATGTCCTATAGCAAAACAAAAGAAAACTCTCAAAATAAATAAATAAAATAATTAACAGGGGGTAAAACACCTGATAATTATGGGGTGTAGCCACATTTGGGAGCCACTGCACACTCTAACTCCTGCATAAACTTAATGGGGAAAACAATATTATACTTAAAAATATCTCACACACACTGACATCATCCTCACTGGCCATATTGACCAAGCTTGGTCAACCTCTTATGCTGGAAATCTTTGGACATGCCTTCACTTGCCTATTCACTTGTTTACCTATTCAACTTTCAGCCAACACTTAACTGAGCATGACCCTAGGTGATAGGAGTACAGAGAGGAGAGACATGGTCTCTGCCCTCCAGTCTAACTGGAAAAAAAAGAGCAAACAATTACAGTACAGTGGGAATAACAGGGACAGAAAGCACAGGGCCCTGAGGGTCACTGTTCTTCTTCAGAGCCACCAGATAATTCACCCCATAAACATATGGATTGTATCCGTATGTGTTAAGTTACGTTATGTTCTCAGAATGCGAACCCAGAGCCACCTGGAGTTGTTAGCTTTAAAACCTGCTCAATAAAACCCTCCTACCCAATCAGAAGACCTGGGCAAGTGCTTCTCAAAGAGTCCCCCAGGGCTCTTGTATTGGAATAAAATAGATGATGATGATGATGATGATGATTATAATTATTTTAGAGAGATTTTTTACTATAGGGCACTCACTAGAGAGACAAAGAGACAGAAAGTGAGAAATCACCCACCTGGGGGGATGGTCACACCACAATCCCTTCTCCTCCATTCTCTTCCCAGGATCTTGGGCATGCATACATAGGCCCAGTGTTATTTTTAAGCCTTAGAGTCCAGGACTCAAATCGTGATTGGCCATGTGGGAGTTCAGCAACGTAAATATTATGCCATCTGCTGGTCTCAGGGAGTTATTATTAAAGCTGCAATATCCTACATTCCAACATAGACCTCTTGAAGAATAATCACCAGATGGAGAGATCAGATTATTACATCAAAAATTCATGGAAAAATGGAACCAAAATATGAGTTTATATTGGTCCATGCTTAATATTTTCATAATACTCATTTTCCATGAACTTTTGGAAGACTCTCTCATCTTTAAAACATCTTGAAAATCATTGGCCTAGAAAGCCAAATTGTTTTGAATCATTCTTCCACAGGGACAAATTCACTACTGACTTTTGAACAGGGGCCTCCAAAATCCATCATGCATGCTTCAGGTTACCATAGAAAAACGATTTGGTAAGCTTTTTATTACAGGAAGATGGTTCTGATTTCAAAATGTGTTTATTCGGGAAAGTTATTCCTGGAGACTGTCCCGGACCTTTGCCTTTCTTAATATACCCTTCTCTTTAATGTAGTAATAGGCTGGTGATGTGGCCTTCAGTGATATTTTAATATTCTTCCAAGGGTGGATGAGAAAGCAGAGCCATAAATCACAAACGGGTCTGACGCAGGCAGACCTTAAACTGTACTTGCAAGTGAGTTATAAAAAGCCAAAGTTATAAAGGGCAGAGATAAAAAGAGAAAGGGCCAACACATATTTTATGAGTCTTTATATAAATCATCTCCTCCAGGCTCTAACTTGCTACAGGGGTGTACACTCACCAGAGAGACAGAGAAAGACAGAGAGACAGAAAGCAAGGAATCACTCCCCCAGGAGGGATGGCCACGTCACACTCTCGTCTTTACATACTGAAGTGGCCCAACATTCCTCATTTGAGGGAGTTCAATGGCTCAAAGACGAGTGAGCAGAAGCATCTTGTAGAACTTTTCCTTTAAGGAACCAGAAGCCAGGCCATCCACGCCCCATGACAGGATTTCTATCAGAAACTCTCAGCCTCAGGCCCAGTGCTCAGTCCGCTGCTGTGATCTAAATCAAGCCAAAGTCACATTTACCTGGTCATTATGTCTTGGGCTAGATGGCAGGCCCTCAAGAAACTCAGCCTAATTAAAGAGATAAACAAGAAGACTGACAATTACACTTTAGCATGATACCTATCAAGACAGAGGTGTGCTGTAAATCAGGGAGCGTGCTGGTAATCTAGTTGTTTAAAGAATGACGTAGCTTATCCTGAAGGACCAATAAAAGGTCTTTGCACAAAGAAAAAGCATAGTCCAGGCAGAGCGAACAGCATGTGCAAACACAACAGGCCTGTTGCAGATACACTTTTTAAAAGTTTTTTATTATTACTATTACTTAGTTTGCTCTAGGGAATGTGCATTCACCAGAGAGAGAGAGACAAAGTGAGAAAGCAAGCTACCAGATCCAGAACTGAAACTGTGCTTGACCATGTGGGAGTCCAGTCCCTTAACCACCACGCCGCCTGCCAGCCCTGCATATATACTTTGTTTTGTTTGTTTGTTTGTTTGTTTGTTTGTTTTCAAAGTAGAGTATTCTGTTTTACTTAAATCATATAACCTTTCAGGGGCGAAACAAATAAAGGGTCTGGTTCCCCAAGGCTCACAGATATCTATACCCTACTACAATAAGCCTTCCAGGAACAGTGAAATGAAGTGGAGTTCTTCAGAGATGAAATGGAACCCTAGTCTCTCACGTGCTCTCTCACATCACATTCTAATCAGAGGTAAAGCAAAGCATAAATAAGAGAACCATTTACTCCATAAAACATATGCTTGGGTCTCCTTTGCTTAAAGAATGGGAGGAAACAAATTCTTGCCTGAATACTTGATATAACATCTCACATTCTCCACGTAACAAACAGGTGGCAGGTCTTTGTCTCACCACTGACAGTATTCTCCAAAAAACACAGAATTCAACTTTCAGGACTTGGCCACTAAGGGATCTGAGGTAAGACTCTCCTCTCTAGGTGTGCATTTAAAAATCTATGACAGAGGCGTTCAGGAATTGTGCCTGTCCAGCTCTACTCTATGGTTCTATAAACAAGGAGATGTTAACTGTGCTAGCGCTGGGGGAGAAAGGAGAGTGGGTTTAGGAGATGGTAATCCTTTTTTTAAAAGAATTATTTTTAATTTTAATTTTATTTATTCTTTCATTTATCTTCATTTGTCCAGAAAAAGATGAGAGAGAGAAAGTGAGAGAGAGAGAGAGAGAAAGCATGCCACCAGGTCCGGGACTTGAACCACAGTCAGCCTTGTGGGAGAGTCCAGTGCTTTAACCACCATGCCACCTGCTGGTCCCCAAGGACATGGTAATCTTACTTGCCCAAATATTGGAATATTATTTCATTGAAAATCAAGAACTATTTATGACAGAAAAACTCCATTTTCATTCTGAGCTATTCACTTCCGACCTTTAATTAAAAAACTCAGGGGAGCATTTCACCTATGCTTCACCTGCAAAAGATTTGTGCAGTTGGCTACACATGTCCATTTGAGGTTCCCACCCTGAGCAGGACAGGCAGTGACTTCCCTCTCAGCTGTGAGGAAACTCTAGGATTAAGATATTACTTCCAGGGCTGGCAGGTGGCTTGGTGGTTAACAGTGCTGGACTTCCACATGACCGACTATGATTCGAGTCCTGGACCTGGCGGCTTGCTTTCTCACTTTCCCCTTCTCTCTCTCCTCTCTCTTGTTTGCCTGCTCACTTGCTCTGTCCCTCTCTGGTCAAATTAAATAAATAAAGTTAAATAAACAAATTCTTTAAAAAAAAAAAAAGATATTACTTGCTGGGGACTAGCAGATGGCGTAATGGTTATATTGCTGGACTCCAGCATAGATGACCACAGTTCAAGCCCTGGACATAGTGGCTTGAAAATCATGCCAAGCATGTGTGCATGCATGCCCAAGATCCCAGGAGGAGATTTCAGCGTGGCCATACACCCTGAGGGTGATTTCCCACTTTCTCTCTTACTGTCTCTCTTTCTCCCCACCCCCCCACCCCCAACGAATGCACACTCCCTAGGCAAAAAAAAAAAAAAAATCCTCTGAAAAAATAAATTACTTCCTAGGTCATGACCCACCACAAACAGGAACCAGGCACATTCCCTGGCTGTCCAGGGAAGTTTAAGTCAGATAATGCTCTCCCCCACCCTAGCCCTCACAGACGTAAGCACTGCCAAGCAGAAATCTCTTCCCATGCTGAGAGGGTAGGTTAATTAATTAATGCATGCTCCGAGATGGAAATGTATCCTATTTTTAATGAACAATAAGAAAGCTTTACCTGACATTTTGGCTCAGGATTTATTATAGAACACAAGCTTACTTATTCCTTTGTTTTTCGTGCATTTTCCAAAAACTCTCAAGTTCTGAAGCACAAGTTGGAAGAGATCTCAAAGCCACCAGAGCCCATAAGACGTGCCAGGAAACTTCAGATGATGCTTTTGGAATAGGCCAAAACTAATCTTATTTTATTTTTTTAGTATGCTATAGGACATTTGGGTTTGCACAGGGCAGGGATGAGAAATCACTGCCCAGGGGGATTCTGGAGTGAGAAATCACCCCCTTCTCCTCCATTCTCCTCTTGGTATTTTAGGCATGCACATGCATTTAGCATGTTTTTTATTTTAATTTATATTCTATCACATGTCTTGACAGTATACATTTCTTTTTCTAACACGAATACCATGCATGTCAATCAAGACAAGGATATTACCATAACATTATCATCAGCAACCCAGCGTGTTTTCTGCACCACTGAATCTGAGACTCGAACTGCACGGTGGGCCAGGGGGATCCAGTCACCTCAACCTCCATGCCATCTGCTGGCCCAAGCAGACACGCACTGTTGTTTCTTCTTGGGGCAAAGGGGTTAATTTCACAGCAAGATGAGGTTTATTGGAAAATAGGATTTTCTTTATCAAGAATGTTTGTGGGTGCTCCTCTCTCATGGCCTCACTTCCAAGATGATGAAGAAAAGGAGGAATGATGGCCATGCCAAAATGGGCCCCGGCCATGTGCAGCCTATTCGCTGCAAACTATGCCAACACATGCCCCAGGACAGGCTATTAAGAAGTTCGTCATCGGGGTACCAGCAGTTAGCATGGTGGCTATGTTGCTGGACTCCCACGTAGTCGACCGCGGTTCGAGTCTCGGACCTGGTGGCTTAAACTCACGCCGGGCGCGTGTGCATGCATGCCCAAGATCCCAAGAGGAGAATGGAGAAGAAGGGATTGCGGCGTGGCCATCCCCCCTGGGGGGTGATTTCCTGCTTTCTGTCTCTCTGTCTCTCTCTGTCTGGCGAGCACACACGCCCTATAGCCAAAACCTCTGGAAAAAAAATAATAAATAAATAAATAAAATAAAATAAATAAAAGAAGTTCGTCATCAGAAACATAGCAGAGGCTGCAGCTGTCGGGACATCTCCAAAGCAAGTATCCTCGATGGTTATGTGCTCCCCAAGCTGTACGTGAAGCTGTATTACTGTGTGAGTTGCGCCATTCATAGCAAGGGAGTCGGGAACCAATCTCGTGAAACTCAGAAGGACCGAACACCCCTACCCCAATTTAGACCTGCAGGTGCTGCCCTTCACCCTTCCCAAAGCTCATGTAAAGAGCTGAGTCTTTTTTTTTTTTTTTTTTTTTTTCGCCTTAGGACGTGTGCGCTTGACAGACAGAGAAAGACAGAGAGATAGAAAACGAGAAATCACTCCCGGGGGGTGGGGTGGCCACACCGCAATCTCTTCTCCTCCATTCTCCTCTCGGGATCTTGGGCACGCACGCACACACATGCGCCTGGTATGAGTTTTAAGCCACTGGGTCCGGAACTCGAACCACGGTCAACTACATGGGAGTCCAGCAATATAGACATTATGCTAACTGCTGGTCCCAAGAGCTGAGTCTTTAAGGAATGAAAAATTGTTCTCTGGGAAAAAAATAAATGCAAATTATACATAAAAAAAAAAAAAAGAACGTTTGTGGGCAAAGTCTGAAGCTGTTTACACAAAAGTCCTTTTCCTCCCACGTATGATAGTCAATAAATAATTTCCATCTAAGTTTTAAGTCAGCAGAGTGTGAGTAGAATCAATAGATCAATTCTGGCATGGATGGAAAAAATGCTGCAAGGAAGCTAAAGAAAATCGTTTATCCACAGTACAAAATCTCCAAAGAGGGTTGAGGGTTTCAAAGAAAGATGTTTTTTAGCTTAGGACCAGCAGATGGCAGCATAACTCAAGAAAAGAAGAGAGGTTCATTTATTCCCTTAGATTCTTTTCAAAGGTTCCTAATTAGTCCAAGAAAAAATATATCCTTTATAATCAATTTGCTGGGAGAAAAAATTATGGGCTTTGGGAGCAGCAGGTACTCTAGTGGGTAAGACACTGGAGTCCCACATGGCCAACCATAGTTTGAGGCCTGGACCCAGCGGCTTGAAAATCACGTTGGCCACGTGTGCATGAATACCCAAAATCCCAACAGGAGAAAGGAAAAGGAATGGCAGCATGGCCACCTCCCCCAGTGGTGTTGGGGTGAGTGATTTCTCACTTCCTCTCTGTCTCTCTTCTCTCCAGCTAGTGCACACACACCCTATAGCAAAAACCTAAAAAAAAAATAAAATAAAAAAAATAAGGGCTTTAGCCGATAGTGGTTGTACTTTTAGGATCCATTGGTTAAAATACATATATATGACAAAAGTTACAATGACCTCAATTGCAGAATCTACATACATACAGAAACATGGTAGATAATCTGTGCGAAGAATATTTCATCACTCTCAGCCAGTCCCTGACATACCTGTGCCTTCCCAAACCCTTAGCAATACCTCTGTGGTCCCCTGGGTCCTAATTCACAAGGAGGCTACCCTCTTTCATGAGCTTTTATCTCTTCCTCACTACCACCCAGCAGTCTGCCAAAAGCTTGGAGAAGTTTAGAGAAGTTCAAAGAACAGAGTGGAGTGGATCAAAAGTCCCCACTTTCTACCTGGCTAAATCTTAGTACTCCGGCACCTGCCTATTATAAGTAACACTGACTATGGAATTGCAATTAACTTTTAAATTAATGAAATATATAAAAACAGGGCCTCTGTGGGGATGGAAAGCTTCCCAGTGAGAAAATATCTGAAGTTGTTAAAAGTATAGGATCGGGGGTTGAATGCCTGGGTTGTTACGCAGACATTTCTATTTCCATTAGTTGTGTGGTCTTGAGCAAGTGACTTAACCTCTCTGAGGTTGTTTTCCCTCGCCTCTAAAACAGAAAGCGTACTGCCTACCTTTGTTTAATTGCTTATGCTGTGTGCTGACTAAATGAAATGATTTGTGTAAGGCATGACCTTGCATATACAAGTGTCCAGTAATGTTGGCTGCCATAGGAACTATCCAGGTATTACTGTCATGTGTGTGTGTGTGTGTGTGTGTGTGTGTGTGTGTGTGTGTGTATATATATATATATATATATAGTTGTATATATTTTTGGGGGGAGAGGGAGATTTTTGCTATAGGGCCTGTGCAATCACCAGAGAGACAGAGACAGAAAGTGAGAAATCACCCTCTGGGGGGATGGTCATGCCACAATCCCTTCTCCTCCCTTCTGGGATTTTGGGCACGCATGCACACACACCTGGCATGAAGTTCAAACTACTGAGTCTGGGACTCAAAGCACGGTCGACTATGTGGGAGTCCAGTGACGTGACCATTACGCCATCTGCTGGTCCCTCTCCTGACTTGTGTTAAAGAACTCAAGAACGAAACATCTTGGGGGAATTGCCTTCCACTACCTCTAATATTGGGGCTGACCACAACCATACCAATGACCCTCTCAGGCAATATTAGGTAAAAGAACAACAAAAGGCAGTAGTAGATCCATATTAGATCCAGCATGAAGAATCTTCCAGAATCATAGAAAAAGCTCAATAACCAGGCCATGAATTGGTTTGGGGACCTCAGCAGGAGAAATTCTGGGCCCTTTCTCTAAGCAGCATCATTAATGAAATACAACTCAATGTTCATTTCCATGGAAAACTCAAGTTCTCAGGAAAGACAGCCAGACTGACTATCCTCAGCCAACGTCAACATCCTTGAATGAATTAGCCACAGCAAAGCAATGATAGGTGAGTAGGTGTCAGCACACTACAGCCACCAGGATCCACTGTGTCACTGATAGCCGTGGTAAGTTGTAGCACAATGACTGTGGGGCTCATTCTCTCACCATATTTAATTCTTATCTTCCCAATGGCTCCTTCCCAAGAGTCCCAGGAGCTGTCACCCTGACACATGAAAAGCCCCTGGCCACTCACCTGTCGTTCACAAGCTTCCCATGCTGGTGAATCTGATTTTCCATCGTAAAGTTGATTGTGGCACCGTACAGGTGCTCGCCAAAAAATACCTTCATTCTAGACTTGTATTCTTCATCTTGGAAATACCGGATCATATCAGGGAACCAAACTGTCAGTCCATAGTAACTGAAATGGAGAAGACAGAATGTTTCAGCAGCAACATGAATGGCTCTCTCATGACCAGAGTCTGCATTCCCGACTTGATGGGGAGCAAACTCATTTTAAACATTTCCATTTGGCTCATTATTAGAAAATTTAATGATATAAACTCTCTCTCTTTATTTGTTTTTTTCTTAGAGAGAGATTTTTGCTATAGGGCACATGTACTTGCTGGAAAGAGCCAAAGTGACAGAAACCAAGAAATCATCCCCCGGGGGCGGGGGGGGGGGGGGGGGGGGCACACCA